TGTACCACAGACAACACACACTTCTGTAAAGTTTTTTTACCGTTACATTAGTCAAATTGTTCTGTAAATAGCGCAACGAAAAAAATTAATTTTTCCTTAATTAAATATTTAATCAAGAGTCTTAATACATCAACTTTTCACTATTTGAAATAAATTAAAGAATTTGTCAAAATACTGCAGTTTTATTTAATTCAAACGTTATTTACCATTCTTACACATTGCACCTAACACGCTAATCTTTTTATCCGGTATGTTTGTACTTTTATTTAAAACCAAGCTTGCCAGATAGGCACAAATAGTTGCATTTTTAGGTTTAAAACTCAGTATCTTATAAAATCGTCCTTTTTCATCTAACAAAATTCTTATACAAAATTCATGAAGCAAAATCTTCTCATCCCGAAATTCTCTTTGTAAATTGTAGCTTGTAAATGCTCTTTGTAGCACCTTTCATCTTTTGTATCTCCTAACCATGAAATATGCACATTTTCCAATTATTAGTATTACAAACAATATATAAATAACAAAAACATAACACCACCTTCGTGGATTTGATTAAAGTATGGTGTAGAAATGGCTGCCTCACATGCTTACTTCAGACTAACGACATCCGTTAATGGTACAACATTATCACGTCAACCTACAATTTTCTCCTTCATATGTTGTATTATTACACTGATAGCAATATACGTTATGAATTGAATAAGTATAAGTAATCATACTAATATTATAAATGTGAAAGTTTGTGTGTTTGTTTGTTTATTTGTTTGTTTGTTTGTTTGAAGTTCAATCACGCATTAAATACTGGTCGGATTGTGTTGAAATTTGGTATGATGATAGCTCACATTCCCGATTCACATATAGACATATTCTTACCTCAAAAATCCTTTCGGGCTCTGCCCCAGCGGCTCTGGAGTTTCATATGTCAACCTTATGAGAATTCATATTTAAAAGGAATTAAATAATTTTGCCAGCTGTTTCAACTACACAATTTGTTTCTATGATATTCAATAGCATTAAAAGGTTATACGGTTTACCAACAGGGTGCAGCACCATTAGTTCTTTATACATTTATGACAACAGCTAATTTGAACCAAGCAGCAACAAAAACCTGAGTGTGAGAACTTTACTTCTTTCTATTGTTTAGGTGAAGTAGTAGAACATTATGGCTATGGTAGATGTTCTATATACTATAGTATACCGTAGATTAGGCCTATAGTAAACCAATTTTCTCAAAACGAGTCCCCTCTCATTGCAAATGCAAAGCACGAGTATTTAACTACGATAAGCATTGTATACAAACCCCGTACGAAGGACGGGTACTCAGCTAGTATATAATAAACTTTTGTCATTAAATGGGAATTTGCAATTAATTTTCCTCGCTTACTGGTAGTATTAGTAGGTACACTAATGTGGATATAATGTATGTAGAATAAGTAAAACTTAAGATAAGACATCACCGTGCTTCACCCCTTCAATTTTGCAATATCACATGTAGTTTTAGTACACTGATACTGATTTACAGTGTTAGTAAGAGAAAGATAGGTACTTTAAAGTGTCGATGCTAAACTAACATTTCAACCAATGAATGGTTTTCTCACAACATCATTTATTACAGATTCACATACAAAAAACATCATTTTGGGAAAGTTGTAACGAGTTATTTTTCCTAGGAGCGTAAATTTTCGTTATTTGGCCGTGCGATTGTTGAGGTAAGCAAGCGGCGGCGGCGAACCTGGCTAGCGCCCTTTGACCCGGCTTATCAGTTCGGATAAGCTTGGGTATCCTGGGACTACTGGATAGCCGAGAAGGCCATTCTAGTCGTGGATCACGAGCAGTAAAGGCGCGTTCACACATGGCGACTAACTAGCCGCTACTTAGTCGCCGCTACTTTAGTCGCCGCTATTTACTCGCCGGCAAATTTTCGATCTCTGTTCACACATCGCGATTTGTAGTAGTTAGTACAGTTCGATGATTCGTTGTGAGTAGGGTTTGCTGTGGAAAATGTCTGTAGGAAGGCGAGAGACTTTGAGACGTGTATTGAGTATCTGTGTTAAGGAACTTTGTGATGAATTAGTGAATAAATTAAGAAATAAAAGAAAACGTAATTTCCAGGAAAGTAACCATTTGGTCACTACTCCACTTCACACTATCGGCCATCTTTAGTATAGAATCCGTATAAACTGACAAAACGTTATTAAAAGGAGCAAAACACAACCACGAGTCGTCAGATCGCAAGCTACCGGCTTCTAGTCGGCGATAACACTATTCACACAGGGCGACAGGGTTGCTACCACTCGCGGCGAGTGTACCACGTGACACTTCAAGGTCAGCTACTGGCGACTACTCGCCCCAAAAGTTAAACATGTCCAACTTTCCTCGCGAGTGATTTTTTACTCGCCGGCGAGTGCTAGTCGCCGCTACTTACTGTTCACACATAGCGATTAGTAGCCGCTACTCTAGTCGCAGCGAGTAAAGTCGCCATGTGTGAACGCGCCTTAAGGAAGGGTTAGCGTGTGTCTAGTGAGACGTCCAGTGATTTGGGTGACATCGGTGTCGTCGTGGTTGGTGTTGTGTGAGGTGACAGTGAGTGTCGGTGATTAAGTTGGGTGTTGAGACTCACTGTTGGTGAGTGGACGACGTTCCTTACATTTTGGTTTAAGATTTGATTTAATATTAATCTTACATTTTATTGGTAGAGTTGTAACCGTGCTGGTCAAAGCCTGGCGGTAGTTAGGATTTATATTAGTCACGAATAATATTAAAGTGTATTCCTGACGGGTCTGGGCAGGTGCTAGAGCGCAAATAATATAATTTATTGACTGTAGTAGTTATTATTTTGCGTTGTACCAAGAGTTAGTTATATTACTAATAACTGTGAGGCCCGACAAACCTAGGCTGCAAGATTTAGCGTGCGTAGTTGGAAGCACGTGGCCAGTAGGCTAGTAGCTAATATTATTAGCCTATTAACAGAAGCCCAGCTAACTAATATTAAGTAGGTAGTAGCAGTAGCAGTAGCAGTAGTAGGGTTGTTGTCGATTAATCATTTGATTAACTTAATTTAACCTGAACAGCTTGTTTGGTAATCCAACACGTTATCTTGGTAGCTTGGGTAGCGGAGTACCGGCTATCAGATAATATATTTATCTGGTGTTTGGAACGTATTTACTATTTATTTATCTGCTACTAAGTAGCTAAATAATTTAATAGTAGTGCAATTGGCATTTAGCTTTGCTTGTTTGGCTTGATATTTATTGAGACCAGCTACTAGAGGTGTAGTCACTCTGCCTTTAGTGCACTTGTATTATTATATGGTATTATTATTGAGTAAACTGGTTGATTCTTAGCTTGGGCATTAGAGTTGTGTATTGCAGTTTAGTGGCCTAGTAGACCCCGCCTGGTAATAACTCGCGTTGTGGTTTTTATTGGCAAGTCGTCGTGTAACTCACCGTGTTTTAGGCACTCTGGGCTTAACTATTGGATAGTTAGGACGAAGCCCGAGTTGCGTGGTCAGCAACGACCCCCTAGGAGTGTGGAGAATCGGCGTAGGCCTGGTGGTGATTATTGCACGTTTGTTTTGGTGACTTGTTTTTTTACTTGTTCACAGTGCCCGTGTATGAGCCAGTCCTATACCGGTTTGACCCGGCTTTTGGCCTAGTGGTTTCCCTGGCCTTATCGCAGACCCTGAAACTTTACCCAGCCATCGTAGGCTGAGCTATCCCCGGCAAACGGTTGCGACTGCACGCACTTTTAATATTATTTTTCCAGTGCAGAAAGTAGAGCGTCGCAAAGTTGCATTCAAATCTACATAATATGTTGACCTTTCCTATTTTAACGTTTGAACAAAACATTCACCCTTGTAAATACAAAAAATTCTATTATGTTTGCAGAGTATTTAGTAACAGTATATAACATGTAAAATCAATCAAATACACTATGACGAATCATTTTCGTTTCAATAATTCTCTGAAATAATCAAATAACCTTTTCCTGACTCACGACCCCAAAGCAAATAATAATTAATCGTAACAAGTTTCTTTTACCCCTCAGTGATAGGTTATATTCATTTCCATTTCCTGAATGGGTCTCAAACATCATCGTGATAGTGTTATAATTTTATTTTAACTCTGAGTACAAAATAGAAAACTTTCCAATCATCGTAAAACATTTTAACTCCAGATAAAATTTCATTTAATAAAATTCATCAGATGAAAGTTATAAAATAAATTAACAATTGTCAAGTGGGGCAATGAGCGTGATCAAAACAACACCATAAACTGCTATGGGGAATGGACGGCGTCGAGTGGCTGCTGAGGGATAATAGCTCCAACAGCCGCATAAACATCGTTAATGATCACCAGCTTCGTTTATGATACATCAACATCCACACGGATCATGTTGATCCAGCTTTTCATACCCTGATTGATTGCTTCGTGCAAAGCTTTTGTTAATTATATTTTTATCGTTAAAAACAATTTCGTTTTCCCAATGTCCGTGTGAAGCTTAGTTTTATCAGTTTCCAATTACTGAACCTTATTGAAATAACCAATTAATTTTTAAAAAATTGAGTTTTCCATTTATAAACATTGGTTATGATGGTTATCTTTTCTTATCAAACATCCACAATGATGTTGATCCAGCGTTTCATAGAATGGTTGTTTAGTTCGTCCAATTGCTTTGGTAATTCATATTATTACGATTATAATTTTGTTTTCAATTTTCCAACAGTGTTTTTCTTCTGCAGCAAAAAATATATAAACCCCATCACACGTTTAGTTACATTTAAACATGTTTCACCTAGAATACGAAATGGTGACCGGGGGGGGCTTCACTTGCGGAGGAGTGAGTTCAAAACCCACTAATCATTGAACATTTGAAGGTAAGTTGTTTAAATTGGTTGTTTAAGATCCACCCCAGAACCAATAGTCAGCCTGTTTATACACCAACACAAGGACAAAATATCGTTGGGAGAACTTCCTTTACTAAACTTGTATTCTTCTTACCTCAAATGGTGTTCTGAACCGCAGCACCTGGGGGGGAGGAACTTTGTGACAAACACTTTGGCTGCGAGTCAGAGGTTTTCTGTCCTTGTCTCGAATCTCGGGTCCAGGCCTGTTGCCCACAACCTAAAATAGAAATAAATCATTTATAAACCTTCAATGTCCAATTATTTCTAAGCAGTAAATATGAGTATACATAAATTAGGAGAATTGTATTATTTTATAAAATAGTTACCGGTAATACTTTATTTAAACTACCTCTAAAATGTTTTCTTTCATATTTTTGCTATGGGTACAAGCAATTTTTAGCCCTTATTTTCATAGTGTAAGCTTACGTTTAGTCAATTGAACATAGTATTTATTTATATTCTCATTTTCACCATCGTTCTTGGAAAATACTTTTTGATTTCTCTGTAATATTCAAAAGTTTACGTTTCCAATCTTAAAAGTGAAAGTACATTTAAAGAGGAAACCTTAAACGTAATCGAAACAAGGTTCAAGTATAATCTTTGGTAAAACTCCCACAGACAAACAATTAAAAGGACCAATGAAAAATAAAATCACAAACACTATTTATGTAACGTACCACGCCAAAATATGCCAGAGTGATTGCCTTAAGTTTTTATTTATGTTTTTGATTTATATCATAACTACTTTTTCTTATTCAGTCCTAGACCAGTTTAGTAAAACTAAACACTAAAATTTATCAAACCATTTTTCAATCATTCCAAACTGTTAGTATCTAAAAAGCTTCATTCAAATCAAATTTAAAGTTCTTTCATCAAACTTGATTACTGCTTGTGCCGTAAAATTACTCTGCTAGGCAATTAACGGAAGCAGTACGTATTTGTCTGGTTTTGTGTGATTTCAGCAAGATGTCTTTTCCAGGTATTACTAAGCTTCTACTTTTGTTTTGTTCACCGTAAAACAAATTAAAGAAACACCTCTCATATAGGAAAGCTATGATTAATAGTGTTGATACAATGTATTCATATTCGCTACAGTCAGGTAAATTTCAATATTTTTTATAATGCGATTTAACTTAAACTTGTAATTTATTTAACGAATCCAATAATGTAAAAACACCATTAGGTGTGTAGTAATCTAGTAATAGTAGTAATCTAGATTTGAAAGGTACTAATAAAGTAATTGGATGTTCTAGGACCTTGTTAAGGGGTGCTACCAAGACCAAAAAAGGAGGGGAGTCTGGGGGTCTTCCCTTTGGACAATTTTGTATTTTTAAACCCTTTTGGTGACTTTCTAAAGCCTTCTAACGCATAGTACTGTGTCCAAACCTCCATTACGTGTTTAGGACGTTTCTTTTAAATTAATTTTTCCTATATCCAATAGGGGGTGCTTTAACTTTAACCCCTTTATCCCCCCTTTTGGAACGCCCACTGTTCACGTTTGATGAATTAATGTGTATATTTCACACATTACAGCTTTGAGTACAAACACGCATTAAAAATATGACCTTATCTACGGGATCAATATGCACACAGCTGTTTTTATTTGTCGATATACCATGTAATCGTGTAATTACCTCAACCACCTCGTTTTCCCTCAGCGAGGTGAGTGACGTAGACCACTCGCTCTGCAGTTTGCTGATCGACTGCAGACCGTGGTTCCAGCTCTGGGAGCGCACCATGCTCGACCCATCGGCGGAACGCCGCCATTTGCCGCTGCGGAACTGCGCCAGTTTGCGTCTCAGGAAGGAGAACTCTCCCGGCTCCTTACCAGCTCCGGGACTAACGGGGCCCCCGGGTCTGGCAGGGCCCCCAGGGCTAACGGGGACCGCGGGAGACTTCTGTCGACGCATCCCTTCCAGCTGAGACGACAGCGTCATTTCCTGCAACAGAAGGATTTCGTTTGATTTTCCCTCAAGGATTTTTATATCTAATAAAATTTGCTTCACATTTGAGCCTTCGGGTTAGTAGCGGCAGTTGAGTTTGTAATTATCTTAAAAATATCATCTAACAGTATAGTATTGTTTCTTAATTATTTCCGCCTAAATATTTCACTCACACATAAACAACCTTAGGAAATACTACATCACGTTGTTTATACTCTTCACACTTCACTAACCAGTATTTTGTTTACATGGTGTTGTGAAAAACACGTGTAAACAGCGTTGTGTGTCAGACCCATTGTGCTGGACATTATGGCTACATAGTCCAACACCCAGACTGCCAAGAGAGGGCAATTACCATACCAATGGACATGTGTTAGTGTCAATGTGTTTTGTACGTGCAGCAAAATATTTGCAGACATTTAAGATTCAGAGTTTTGTATTTGCATAGATTAAACATACTCCATTATAGGCTAGAATATCATTCGTATGGATAATTGTTGAATAGTTTTCATGTTATACAGCCACGAGTAAAAGTATTTTAACTCATAATTCAACCTATATGCAAACTATTATTTCTCTTCTGGTGTCAAATCAAAGAGTAAAAAGTAAGCGCACAATAGTAAAGTCTACCAACAAAAGTGAGAAACATTTAGACATGGTCTCATATGGTAACTCAAACTTTACCAACATGGAACGCAAAGCCATGTTACAATAATAGTATGAAGTCTACATTTTTCAATACAATTTTACATTTGGGATGTATACTTATTGTACAAATACGTATACCACATACGCCTTACAGTTGATAAACTTTTTTCATACTTCGAGTAGAATACTTATTTTATAGTCTGAAACCTTTTTTGATGCGTGTTCAGTGTTGGATTACATTTAAGTGTCAATGTTAAATTATTTTTAATTTTTGTAAGGAAACATTTTACTAAATAAAAAATACAACCATTTCACTTTTTATTACTTATAGACGTGTAATAGTTTCTTAATATATAGGGCTGTATTTAGCTGTATTGAGTTAAAGTTGGTCAAATAAATGGAATAAATTGTAAAATGTAAATTTGATCTACTTAAACACGACTCTACTTAAACATATATTTACTATTTTCCTCAATTTATCAAAGGGGTGATAAATGTATAAGAAAGTTTTGATATATTTAAATACTTGATATCTAACAGAGAAGTGTCTACATGCAAGTTTTTTTTTTTAATTTAAATTGATTGCAATCCTTTAATATTGAAATTAAAACTACAAGTACTCAAGACGCCGGTCTGTTTCCAGGAAAATTAAGAATAAACCTTTTATGTACCTGGGCTTGCTTGATTTAAAATCATTCTGAAGATGTGATTGAATATGCAGGAAGAACAGCAAGTGAAGTTGGTTCAGAGCGCTCTTAGAATACATTGTCTTTTATTTGTAATTCCAAAACATAATTAGAACGAATTATTCTCTTGTTTCAAAATAAAACAGCAGGAAACCCTTGTTTGTGTATCTTTATTCCACACAAAGTTTTAGGTCGCACAAAGAAACATTCTATTTGATTCTTTATAACTTTATTTATTATGTACTTTATTTTATACTTACGATACATGTAGGAAAAAATCCATGTCTAATCTCTTATTAAATAAGACATGTGTTCAAGGAACAAAATGTTCCTCAAATGAAGATCCTGACAGTTTTCAGGATTTAGATAATTTTGTATGAAAAAGATACGGTTTTAATATGATGCTCTGTTTATGCGTCATATACAGATTATGTTTTGGTATTAGCATTTTGCGAAGTCTTTAAATTTCCCCCACCATTTACAATGAACTTCAAATTGCTATAAACCTTTGTATAACTCAACCATTGTGGATGGAGAGTAATTACATATGGCTGTAATTTTTAACCGTGTTTTACTGTAATGGCGACAACATTCCTGAAATTTTAAATCATCATTTCAAAAGTGAAAAATTGAATAAATATCGATTTAAATTTAGTTCGGGATAACTTTTCCATTGGAAATACCGCTCAAACAATGAAATAGTCCATTAATTACGACCAATTTGGAATCATAATAAAGCACAATCATCGTACCTAAAGACAAAGAAAAAGACAAAAATATCTCCTAATGGAGAACCCGTTAGAATGAATGAATAAATTAAATGTAATCTAGTATTAGTATTGAGATAAACCCCTAACAATCCCTAAAGTAAAATCCCTAACTTGTAAAACCCCTCCTTGTCAAGTCCTTGAACTGTATCTTCTAATGTATATATTTGTAAAAACATTATCCTACACATACAAGTACGATTTAGATGAATATATACAAGCTCAATAACGTAAAGTTGACTTGGTTTATCACAGCTTACAGCTGTATGAAGTTGGGCGGGAAACCTCAACATGTGGTAACATTAGGAACCTCCAACAGTCAGCTGTTTCATAAACTCACTTCAGCCAACCTCACTATGTTTACTCACTTGCCTAGCCACACGAGCTAAGGGGGTTTACAATTCTACATATGTAATTATCATCCGGTTACTTTATCTTTATTTTATTAACTACTAGCTGTTTGCCCGTTCTACGTACGGAAATCTTGTAGTAAGTTAAAACCTTACTAGTTAACCGCCCGTGCTCCGCCACGGGAATATTGTCAGCAATAAAAGAAATAATAATTAACAAATACTGTTTATCTTTGTATTTTATTTAGGGGTTGTTTATCTTTTTACATGAAATATAACTGATAGTTTACCTGTATAAACTATTTTATGTTAATCAAACCGATAATATTATTTTAACCAAATGAATGTTTATATTGATTCGAGTTTCATTTGAAAAATAAATAGTATACGAACTGGGCAATGCTGATAACCTAATAAGCAGCTATTTATGCTATTTAGATAATTTGCTGAAGTATATTCCTATAATCGTCGTTTTTTTTCATTACATTTGTTGTATGGAATAAAGATAATCAGCCTATATGTAAATAAATCACGCATCAGCAGTTGGTCGCATTTCACGAATCTTTGACCCATACTGTGAGTAAAAGCTGTGTTTACGTCGTATATATAAAGTTGGGCTTTGTTCAATGTTAGAGGGTATTAATGGTCCAATTTGATGGAAAAGGAGTCGTGGATTTTAAAACTATGTACCACTATGACTACCACTACCAGAAAGATTTGTATTCAAGTGAGACTTAGAACTGGCCATTTCAAATGCAGATTTGTATTATATTTTACTCAAATAGTTTTTTGTCTCTTTTGACCCTTAATACTTTTTTTATAAGTTAGTCGCTGTTGATAAGATTTTCCATAAACTCAAAATGTTGATAAGGAGTTCATTTTACCTTCCCCTTGTGACAACATAAGGAAAAAATATTTGTGTCCCAGTTAGTCTGTTCTGACAAAAAATTCATAGATTTGCAGTACTGACAAATCCAATCTAACGACCCCAATTCTAAAAATTGGTATTTTTTAGAAGGGACTTCCAGAGCACATTTAACACCATCACTGCTCTTTACCTTTTTAGTTCGATGGTTCTCTACATGTTCTTTTTTTTTTGGTTCTGTATGTCTCTTTACACCCGGTTAATGATTACCTTTTCTTTTTCTTTTTTGTACTTTTCACATCCTGGGGTTAATGATAAAGTTTTATAACGCTATAATGAACCGAGTCAACATTGCCATTAAACATGAAGTCAGATAGGTACTTCTTCGCCAGAACGAAATCGTAAGTCACAGTTTCTCAAGCAACTTCCCTGTGTAGGCCTACTCGAAAAAATATAGTTAGGGTATAGTTCACTGATAAATTGTAGTTCCAAATATCCCAGTGTACTCGTCATCTCGAGAAGGTAAAATTTGGACGTCGAACACTGATCTTGAGTAAGATTAATCACTTACGATAAAATGTTTGTATGTTTACCAATCATTAGCAATTATCTGTACAACTTGCAAGCGGATTTCCCTATGATTGTTCTGGTGGCTATAGAGAATAAATTATATTGATCAAAACAATAAGTTTCCGTACCCTACTATGGGTATTATTTCACATTACATACTCAAACATAAACTCAATTACCACTTTCCTTCAGATCACTTTGCAGGAAAACTAAAACATTTTTGTGTCCCAGTTAGTCTGTTCTGACTCGAAATTCATAGATTTGAAGTAGTGACAAATCCAATCTAACGACCCCAATTCAAAAGAGTTAGTTTTTTTTTTGGGACTTCCAGAGCACATTTAACACCAACACTGCTCTTTACCTTACCTCTAACCTAACCTAACCTAACCTAACCTAACCTAACCTTTTAAATTCGATGGTTCTCTACATTTTTTTTCGTTCGGTATGTCTCTTTACGCCCGGTTAGTGATTACCTTTTCTTTTTCCTTTTGTACTTTTCACACCCTGGGGTTAATGATAAAGTTTTATAACGCTATAATGACCCGATTCAACATTGCCATTAAACATCAAGTCACATACTTCTTCGCCAGAACCGAATGGCAAGTCACAGTTTCTCAAGCAACTTCCCTGTGTACTTGAAAAATTCACTGATATATTGTAGTTCCACGTATCCCAGCATACTCGCCATCTCGAGAAGGTAAAGTTTGGTACCACTGAACGTCTAACACTGATCTTGAGTAAGATTCGTCACCTACTATAAAATGTTTGTATGTTTCCCACTCATTAGCTTATGTACAACTTGCAAGCGGATTTCCCCATGATTATTCTGGTGGCCGTAGAGAATAAATTATATTGATCAAAACAATAAGTTTCCGTTCCCTACTATGGGTATTATTTCACATTTCATACTCAAACTTAATCTCAATTACCACTTTCCTTCAGATCACTTTGCAGGAAAACTAAAACATTTCAAAAATAAGTTAACAAATACACTTTCCTTGATCAAAATCGTGTGTTTATAAACAGAAACTCCAAGTTTAAAATTGCATACTGAAAGTGAGGTTATAAAAATAATAACAAATGTCTGACAAACATTAAACAGCTGACGAAT